ATAAAACCGCGTGAGAGTGGCTAGTTAGATATAAACGAATACGATCCCTGAAAAGTACTGTAACTGTACCCCTCGACCTACTAGTGTTAATAGGAATCAAATACCTGTAAAAACCGGTCTCCTAGTACTTTGTGCAACTTGTTAGCGTCTATTAACATTACCATCATCATCATCGTCAATGAAACCTTTTTTTCTTTTAAGTGCCAGGACGGCAAACTAGTGGACAGATTAATAGGTGGTAAATAAGGGGTATTTGAAGGTAAACAATCGGCGCCCCCCATGGACACTTACAGCAGAAAAATTGCAAGTGCATGCCTTTTGGGGATTACAGTATCGGAAATTTTGGGATTAGGTGGAGACCCCTATCCTAGAAGAAGGGAAGGATTGAGCCTCCAGTAAATCAACAAATTATTAAAGCTCTTGAATCCACCATTCAGTATTTAATCGCTCACCAACACCAATATCGAAAAAACCTCCTATCGGTACCTACACTTCAATACATTTCAACAGCTACAAAATGAAACCCTGTTCAAACATTTGTGAACAAAACAAGAAACAGTGCTATAGTGTGTGCAAGCTGCCAGCATTCGACATCAATTGTTTTCTAAGCGCACCCCAACACTCTATAGCGATAAATTGAATTCAGTGTCTAGCGCCCCATTGAAAGGTAGAACAGTAAACTTAGAAAACCAAATACAAAACTTTCTCATTTTATTTAACAGATTTCTGGATAAACATTGGATTGGATTACTACTTTTGGATTTTTTTCTGAATCATCAAATGAGTCCTTCCTCAACCGATGTTCAGCCGGCGTATGGAGTAAGCGCTATAAGGGACCGCGGAACCTTCAGCCAGTAAGATTCTGATACTCCCTTTCGCCTCACCTTGGGCAGGAGAAATCACTTGATGAATTTCCGCTCCAAAAAAGTAAATATACAAGTGCTAGTATTGACTTTTAAGAGAATGCGCCTAACCTCTTCTTACCTAAGGAAACAAAATGCTAGGGTTGTTCCCTATTACTTTTCTTTGAAATTCATTAAATAGATTCACCTAGCGGAAGCGGAGCGGCTTGTGGTACAGGGTCACACAGAAGGCACGAGACCACGAGGCCGGTCTACGACTCGCTGGATAGACCTAAATAAAAAAAACTACGAAGTCGACCGCAGTACAGTGTACTTGAAACGCTCAAAGTCGACAAAAGTGGAGAGACATCGCTCAACGTCCTGCTCTTGAAGGGAAGGACGACGGCGCAACCCATCCATCTACAGCCACGACTACTCTGCTAAGAGTGTAACGACTATGACAAATGAGAACAATGAAAAGTATTAACACATAGCACCCGTGACACAACATCCCGAGAGATAACGTGTGTGAGATAATGTCAACCAAAGTACGGCTACATAAGAAATAGAAATGAATTAGGGTGGACGCGCTATGAAAGGTATTGTTTATTGCTCATGATAAAACAAAAGACGCAGGGTATACTACTAAAGGTTTTGTACGTTAAATCCATAATCCATAATAATATTATAAAATAGAGGTAAAAGTTTTTATGTTTGTAAGTTTGTATGTAGGGGGTAATCTTTGGAACCACTGGTCGGATTCTCAAAATTCTTTTACTTATTGATAACTACAATGTTCCTGAGTGCTATAGGCTATAAAACATCACATCATATCGTAGCTAGTACTAGATATTTCTGGAAAAGGTAGATATAGTAACCGGATTAACACCAACATAGAGGTTATGGCTATTGTTAAGACACCAACGAAAATTTCATACTCCGAATAATTAGCCCATAAGGCAAGCGCAAAAAGGTCGGACTCAGCATGGAGCAAGAGAAGGAACGAGTTGGCTTTTAGTCAGTAAGAGTCAGACATTCCCTCACTCCTTACCTGGGGCGAGAATAGACATCATCATCGTCATCATCAGTCTATAGGCACACCACACAGGCACCACGCAAGCCCACTGCTGAGCAAAGGCCGCTTCTCATACGGAGAAGGTTAGAAGGTTATAAGTCCAAGTTCCCTCACGATTATAACCTTCACCGTATGTCAGTGGTGTCTAAATAATCATAGAAAGTGCATATAACTGAGAAAAAGTGACATTGGTACTTGCCAGGTTTTAAACACACACCCTCATGCATTAGAAACGGGCTGCTTAACCTCCGTGCCACCGCGACATTTATAGCGAGAATAGACATAATATGATGATATCCACCCTCATAAAAAAACGAGCATAGGAGTCACCCGATGGTTAGCATTGGTCTGGTGTATATGGGTGGTGCCGAATTGAGCAGAATCAGGGTCTTCTCGGTCTTTTGAAGGTTATGGGTCTAACAACTACTTTGTACAACTTGGTCTTCTGTTCTCCACGATCTACACTGGGGCTCTTTTATGACGACGTATAACAAATGATTCACACTTCAGCGAACTGTTATGAGATTGTTTTAAAATGATCTTCGATTTAATATTTATGAGTTATTTTATTATATCTACATTGGTTGCTACATTGACTTGATTAAACCTGCTCAAAACGTCCTGAGAAGATTTAAAATATTTATTATCATCATCAACTATCTAGGAAAATACAGCTGGACCTTCTCTATAGAATAGTATTCATTTGTCATATGTTTAGTTATAATCTAAATTAAAAAGGTCCAGACTCATCAGAGAACGCTGCTGCCCGGTCTGAAAACTTCTTTGTGAATAATAATATGTTTTATAAAATACTAGCTACTGCCGCGCGGTTTGACTCGCTGCTCAGCTCCATTTGATTGTAGTGTCATGTTGTATAGCCTATAGCACTCAGAAACATTGTAGCTATCAATTAGTTAAAGAAGTTTGGGTATCCGACCAGTGGTTCCAAAGATTATCCCCTACATACAAACTTACAAATTTTATCTCTTCATAATATTAGTATAGATATCTATGTATGTTCTAATTCGCCATCACTCAATTTGTCAGAATATTATACTACATTATTACCAAAAGTACAAACCAAAAAGGCCTAGATTCCTTTGTATTACAGAGAAAAACTATAAAAAGAAAAGATGTGCCAAAGTATTAACAATTGAATCAAATGACATACGAATCACGTCCGTATTCTTCTTTGAGCGAAAATGGGTCCCCGCGGGAGTTATGACTGTTGCTATCCAGAAAAGATATCATAAAAACTACTACACATATTGTAAAGGGCGGTAAAGGAAATTGAGGGTATAGTTCTGTTAATGTAAATAGAAAAATATGTATACAACTATGGTGGTAACATTTAATTTTAAAATTGCAACGAAAATACTATTCTTAGTTTAGGTATAATTATTATTATAGTTTCTTTTTGTTAATCATTTATAGTAAATGAAAAATTATAGAGAACCGTGCTTTGGCACGAATGGTCCGGCTCGACTGGACTGATACCTCGGCCTCACAGAAAATCGTCTTCAAACAAGCACAGCGTTGTGTTTCGCCATGTGAGTGAGGTTACCGGATACCCAATAATTCCCTCACGCAACCCCTTCCCAATTCCCGAATCTTCAAAACCCTAATCCCGTATAGGCCAGTGACATACTTCTAATAACTCCTGGGTGTCCATGGGCGGTGGTTTTAAACAGCAGGTAATCCGTTAGACCGTGTACCGACCACTGATCAGATCACCAATCAGATCACTGCGAAGATAATTTCAAATTAAGAAAGACTCGCTCGATTATTAGTTTGCCTTTCGGAGATCCGTCGTAAACAAATATAAAGTCCTCTAGAGAAAAATAAAAAAGGAAACATTCTATTTAATATAATCAAACACCTTATAACAAGTACATTATGAAAGTTTACAAAGAAAGCGAGTCAAGGAGGTTGCAAGTAAAATACACATTGTTACCGTCCACGTGGCCAGGGAAATTCAATTTTCTACAACGTTAGTAATGCTCTCCAATTGTGACGGCCGCGGCCTTTTCCGAATACAATAAACTAACACGTTTCTGAGGTAATTTTATTCCAAGTTTGATGCGGAGATTTTTTTCTGTGTGTGTATCTTTATAGGATAGCTTATAAGGAGGTTTGTTGATCCTGATTCTTGAGTGCCTATGCCTAAGCATTTGGATCTGGATAAACTCGTTTCTCGTCATCGTTTTCAATAAAATTTGACGTAGTTAGGCTAAAACTTCTACTAGTCACAACCAAAAAACAATTGTTATTTAGTCAAAGATTACTATTTGGTCTTTTTTGTAAGCTTTGCTCTTTGATGCAGCACGAAAATAATGCTGATTTTTGTATTATTTTTATTATCGTCAAATAAAATTATTAGTTTATTATGTCTTTGTTTGACGAAATAATTCGGCTTGTTTTAAGTTACGCTGGGTGTTCGAAATATTGACATTTGTAAATCTAATTTTGTTTTTCATTGGTTTCATAAACTGAATTAGTGTGGGAGAGCCAAGCTTCCATCCTTCCAAGATACCGCGGCCTCGCAAAAACTGCCGTGAAACAACCACTGCGTTGTGTTTCGCCGTGTAAGTGAGGTTAGCGAAGGCCCAACCCTTTCCCTCCCCCCAATCCTTCAATCTCCAACGGCAACGCCCTCGCAACTCCACGGTTCTTGAGGGTATTCATGTACAGCGCTAATTGCTTACCATCAAGTTACCCGATTGCTCATTCGCTGGCCTATTACATAAAAAAAACTAAGAAGACATGACAGACGATATCATCTTGTTTTACTTCTTCTTAAACATAAAATAACTCAATACAAACGATGTCAGGTGCTTTAAACACAACCACATAATAATTGCAACGAACTGCATTGAAATAACTATGTAAAATGTGACCAAACCTAATTATCAAAGTTTGGATTAAACAACAAAATAACTAACTAGTCACGAACTAACTGAAACTAGGTTTCATACATTATTGTCGAACGACCGTGCTTTGAATTAATGATACTTTTGGACTGTCACATAGAACTATCTACGAAGCATTCGAAAATTGTATGTTATAATGTCCTAAATACTAGTTTAGGTCATAAGATTACGCCGGGGTTCCGGGTCAGGAAGTACCGCAGCCTCGGTCTTAAGCTGGAGAACAGGGAGAGTAAGAGTCTGACTCTCCCTCTCATCATACCCTAAACAACATAAGCCATTTGATCAATTCCCCTTCAAAAAAAAAAGATAAAAATAACGCTTAAACAAAACAACAAAATTAAACAAACAAAGCCAGCTCATAGTAGGAGTTGAAACAGTATGGTTTTTGCCTAGTCTCAGTTAGTGCCTAGTAGTAAGAGTTTCACACCTTACACCTCACCCATGGCGTGTTTCCCTCTACCCATGGTTTAGGCCATTAGACCACAATAGGCAATTTTGAACGTCAAGAAAAAAAAAAAGGAAAATCGTATTTTAAGAGCTTTAACTTTAAGCGTGTCAGTCTGTCCGTCTGTGCCGGGGCTGCGGGGTAAGCGCAATGAGGCACCGCGACCTCGGCCCAGAGCAGGAGAAGAAACGGGGGGTTTTTAGTCAGTAAGAGTCTGACACTCTCTCTCGCCTTACCCTGGGCGGGAGAAGTCATTGGATGATTTTCCCCTGACAAAAAAAAAAAAAAGTCTGTCCGTCTGTCCTCTAGTAAAGCTATTTGCTCGTTTCAAAGTGTAGATTCCTATGGAGAAGAACGAGCAAGAAACTCCATTTTTTTTATGTAATAGGTCGGCAAACGAGCAGACGGATTACCTGATGGTAAGGAATCAGCGCCGCCCATGGGCACCCGTAACGGAGGAGTTACGAGTGCGTTGCCGACCTTTAAGGGATTAGGGATTTGGAGATTTAGGAACTGGGGAGAAATTGGGAAGGGGAAGGATTGGGCCTCCGGTAACCTCACTCACACGGCGAAACACAACACTGTGGTTGTTTCACGCCGGTTTTCTGTGAGGCCGTGGTAAGTATCACTCCGGTCGAGCCGACCCATTCGTGCCGAAGCATGGCTCTCCCACACTTATGACTTATATAACTCCATGGTTACTCTTTTTCAATCAGTTTTACAATTCATTTCTTTGTTACATCATTTAGTCGGTTCCGTTATGTTAGAACAGTGTAACACTAATGTTTAGACAAGGAATCCGAAAAAGAAACTCTCTGATAACTTCAAAAAACCACTTTCGACAGATACTCACGATATAATAATTTATTGACAAAAAAACTAAATAGTGTTTTAAAAACAATGTGATATTTTCACTAGTTCGATATTCAGAATGAAAAATATAACATTTGCATTGACTAGACAACTTCGTTAAAAGAAAATCGAATGCATCTTGAGGAGGTAAGAAAAGGTAATGTTGTTTATACAGAACAAGACAGGTGAGACAGGTTGTTACCCTCTGCAGACTCTTCATGAATAGTAAGTTGAACTGACACTATTGACTAGTCGTGAAAACTTTTGTTTGTGCAAGGAAAAATATTCAACAAATCTTTTATTTCATTTCAAGTTGGTAACATTCAGGTTTTAGTTGGTTTAAGTGTGGGAGAGCCATGCCCAAATGGGTTGGCTTTACAGCCGTGATACCAGGGCTTCATAGAAAAGCAGCGTGAAACAACTACAACGTTTTGTTTTGCCGTGTAAGTGTGGTTACCGGAGACCAATCCTTCCCCTCCTTCAATCAATAAATCTCGTAAACTCGAATCCCCAAAAGACCGGCAACACACTCGTAACTCCTCTGTATTGCGGGCGTCCATGAGCCGGTTGCTTACCATCAGGAAATCCATATGCTTGTTAGACGAGCTGTCACATAAAAAAAACTTAATTAATGTCTGTTAACACCATCAGTATCGTCAGCTGCCGGTAGCAGTCTGTGCCTTGACTATGTTCCTTCTGTACGTATTTATAATCGCTTGGCATCCGTACGTTGATGTTTTATTATTTTTTTAAAAGATTGAGGTTTTTTATTTATTAGGTTTTGATCATTATGTATGTGGATCTGTATGTTGGTAACACGGCACAGGATAAAATCTTTATTATTATTTACCCTAAAAATAACTTTTATTGACTCAAGTAAAGTCTTAAGATTCCGTCAGATAATCCGAAAAGAGTAGAGCTAAAAAATATTACAGTAAAGACTTTTTACTTTCGTGGTATCCATTGGTCATTTAGATTCCTAATCAAAAAAGTAATCTATTTTATAGACAGCTTTCAATTTTCTAGAAAGAACTAACATACATGCAGTCACACATACAAATCTCAATTCTGATTCTGAACTATTTTAAGATAGGTAACTTACTTGAGCAATCTGGTCGAATCTTCCGAACAGTTCGTTGAGGGTCTTCACAAGATCGGAAGCACTGAGTCGCTCCGACAGAGGGGTGAAGTTGACGATATCTGCGTACAGTATGCTGACGTTGTTGTGTCTTTGTACGTGCATCTCATGAAACCGCGTCTGCTTTGAGCTGTCAGCACAGGCGTCCGCCATTTTCAACATTATTGAGCGTTTTACCTGCAACAAGGAGAAATAATGTTAGCAAACCTTTTTAGTTTTAAACCTGCGTATTTTCTATAGTCTGACAGGGTTCACGCTGCTTACAAGATTTACAAATAACTTTCAATGTCATTATACTTTTAATTTTCGTAAGTTAACTTTTGTCAATTAAATAGATATGCAAAAAAAGGTTGGTCATAAATAAATTTTATTGTCAGCATTTTCTGTTTTTTGACTAATAATACAATTTGATTATTTGTGACCAGATTATGTACATTTAGTCAAATAGCTTAATTAGCCATTCAATCAACACTGCTTGTTAGGATTTAAAGATAGGAAATTTGTGGATTGAGGATGGGGGAGTATGTATTGGACTTCCGATAACTTCACATACTAGGCGAAACGCAATTTAAGTGTTACTTCACGCCGTTATTCTGTGGTAAGCCTACGATCGAGCTGGCCCATTCGTGCCTAAGTATGGCTCTCTCCCACATCTACCAATAATAACACAGCAAAATCTACCAAATAAAACTCTTATAAAAACATACCTACTATCTAGGCTCAACACAAACATATTTATACCACATACATACATATAGTATACAATACTTATTCGATTCCGTTCGGAGAACGTATCTGCTTTCAGTAATTCTGGAGCCCATTCGATTATCCACTCCGGTAATCGGGTCGTCAAATTAGGTTTTTCTGGTTGAACAAATAGACAGCCGTCAAAGCCATTTCGCTGGTGCTATGTAATTGAATTTATTTTTTTGTTCGTATTTTCGTAAAACTATTGTTTTTTTTTCTTTCATTGAACAGTGAGTGAACGAGATGGCAGATCAGCTGATAGTTACCAGCGCCCGCCGTCTGTTTATGAGGGGACGGGAACAGACAGAGAGAGTGTAAGAGGCTTTGGTGTTTAGTTAAACTTAGGTGATTATAGATAAGGATAATAATAAAATGCAGATTTTATAGAAAATGTGAAACCATCGTTAAAGATATTAAATTGCAATAGCGCCTGTAAAAATTGTAATAGCAATCATTTGTTTTACCACAAACGATTTACATAAAATGGTAGGCGTTACTAAATACCGCTTTTTACTAACTTAAACTGTAATGCATGTTCGGCACGAATGGGACCACGGCTTGACTTCTGTGAAACAACCACAGCGCTGTGTTTGCCGTGTGAGTGAAGTTAGCGGAGGCCAAATCCTTCCCCTAGGCACCCCAATCCCTAAATCTCCAAATCTCAAATCCTCAAAAGTTCGGCAACGCACTCATAACTTCTCTGTTGTTCCAGGTCCATTGGCGGCGCTAATTGCTTACCATCAGGTAATCCGTATGCTCGTTTTCCGACCAATCACATAAAATAACGCGTCTATGCATAGATACCTGCAACACAGAGATGTTAGCCGAGTGTGTTGCCGGCCTTTTTGTAAATAGGATTTCGAATGTTTAGGAACTGGGAGACAGGAAATATTGAGCCTCCACTAACCTCACTCACACAGAAAAACACGACGCTGGAATTGTTCACCACGGCAAACCGTAGTATCACCCGTCTTATTCGTTCGCACCTTAGCATGGCTCTCCCACATTACAAATTATTCCTTAGAACGCAGTACTTACACACTGACACATAAATTTTACTCAACTCATGCGCATGTGCGTCTGTGTCATAATATTATGACTCCCCGGGGTCATGCCATGACACGAATGACATCGTCAGTCATGTCACACAGGTCGGGGATTTCGCAATGACGAAGATGTTACAAATTATAGGAAAAATGCCATTGAACGTTTTCCAAGACCTTTGAAGAAGATATTTGGTAGGCATACTTTGTTTTTTAGCTAAGATATTTTCGCTTTCAGATCAAGTGATGGTAACACAAATGCTCTTGTATTTGCAAGCATGACTATTGACTAAAACGAACGGTCATTGGTCGGCAAGACGCCCCAGGTAAGGAGTGAGGGAGTGTCAGGCTCTTACTGACTAAAAACCAACTCTTTTCTTCTCCTGCTCCAAGCCGAGTCCGACCTTATTGCTCTTGCCTTATGGGCTAATTCTTCCGAGTCTTTAATTGTCCTAGCCTAGGCTAGCCCTTTATACCTCGTTTGTACCCAGTGTTTAGTGTGTCACAAAACTAAGACCTTTTTAATGGTCTTAGTTTACAATTTTTTTTTTTTTTTTTTAAAGAATTTAATCTAAATTACCAAGTTCGGAAGACTCATTTTACTTAAATCTCCAATAAGGAAAGTAAGCAGATAAAATTTATTATGAAACACCTCATAAGGAAATTATATCTTTAAATTAATGGAACGGAAAATGCATCGAAGGAAAAATATGACGTAAGTGCAATTGATTTGAATTAAATTGTTTCCTTGTTTACAATGCGATAAGACTTGATTTGATAAAAACAATATGCGAGTCATCGCATCGCATTTCGAATCTTGTTAAATCTATTTATAGTCCAATCATTTTAGGTTTCATCTGGGTAAAAATTCCTAGTGAGCTGAATTTTTGTATACACCTTTATTACGGCGTTATTATGAAGTTGTGAAAAATCGACATCGATATCGTGTCGGCTAAAAAATTACAGAGGTCAAAAGGTCACGAAAATCAGTTTTTTGCAAATATTTCGCGACCTATTGCTCGGACGTCAATAGAGGTCATTATAAAAATTGTACCTCATAAAATTGTCTACAAAAAATGTCTCTCATAGTTTTTCTGTAATAACGCCGTAATAAAGGTGTATACAAAAATTCAGCTCACTAGGAATTTTTCCCCAGATTGGGGTATAAATGCCTAAAATGACTGGACTATTAATGTATCTAATAAACAGCAATTCCTGTATTATGTTTACTTATGTTGTGATATATTATAGGCATATGAAAACTATTTAATGGATGTTAATATACATGTTAACCTTCCTCTGTAATCACTCACACAATGAGCCGGCTCGATCGGCGTGATACCACGACCTAATAGGTGTTATTACACCTTAATTATTATGTTTTCGGCTTACTCACGTAATGTTTTGACAAGATACTCGACTAGTTTCAAGCCATGCTAGAGGCCCATATTCATGAGCAGCATTCCGCGACACGCAACGCGGCGACTGTCGCACTGCTACTGATATAATAATTAATATAACAAAAAACATAATAATTAATTTAGAATCTCTCTCACGTCTCACTCGCGTAAGTTATAATAAAAAAAAGTTATTAAACCTGTTTGAAACTACGCGTAAGTATGAGAGATGTTTATCCCAAAATCCCAATTCTCAAATCCCTTACAACCTCCAACACTAAATAACGCCTTCGGTGTTGCAGTTGTCCATTGGCGGTATCGACGGCTTACCATCAGGCCATAAAAGAGAATGAGTCGATCTTTAGCAAAAACATACACCACAAAAAATATTTTATCCGAATTGCTTGAGCTGTTTTAGAGGTATGTAATTATTAAGTAAAAAATATGACTGATGTTTTATGCCTTAAATCATCATTGATTGATTACTTAGTACAGACGTTGGTGGATACCGTCTCTGGGTCAAATTATTTATTATTGTTTTCTTATAATTATAATTAAGTATTTACTTCTAAGTAACATGGAGTTCGAGGTAGCAAGCATAGCGTAAATATTGGTTTCAAATTTTTCAAAATTGTCCCTCTACATGGGTAACTAAAATGGCAAAGTAAAACTTAATATTTTTGACAATAGAATTCAATTTTCAATGTTAAGATAACGTGAAATTCGAATTTATATGTAACTATGACGTCAACACATGTAAGAATTTACAATGTAAGTAAGTTCATGTAAGAACAATACCTAAACGTTTCTTCGATGAGTATCAAGGTAAAACTAGATAAAAAACTAATTCACAAAATACTTTTTTACTGGAAAATCATGAATAAGCTGTAAAGAGGGAATTACTAAGAGGGCGTATGTGTATATACATAACTATGTACCTACTCATTAGATGGTCTGACGTGGTTATGACGTCACAACACAGCATGAATGAGGACAATCAAGTTTGAAAAAGATACTCTTTTGAAATAAAAGGGTTGGGGAAATAAATATACAAGTAAAACTGTAATAATATTGTTTAACCCTTATTTGTAATAAAAGTAGCGTTTGTTTATATTTTAAAGAGCTTGTATGTACCTAATATTTAGATTCAGATTTGATTAAGTTGATTAATAAATATTGTACCTAGAGTATTTTTTATCGTATCATGTGCTCAATACGGGTGGGTAGTATCAGAACTCAACTTAATTATTTTTATAAATATAAATAAGTTTTTTTTTCTTTTTTTAAAACGTTGCCCCATACTAGGATTTTCTGCTGTGTCGTGGGTGCGGTTACAAACATTCAATTTCACACACACACTGACACCCAGACCCGGAACAACAATTTGTGGATCACACAAAGAGTTGTTCCGTGCGGGAATCGAACGAATAAGTGTATCACCATAACGCTTACTGAGATCAGAAACTACTGAATCAAAAACAAACACTACAAAAATGTATCCTAATTGCATGTCCAAATATGATCGATGGACAAAAAATAGTATCCAACTCGGTTACTATTTTTTGTACTTTGATGTAATTGGTTTTAGTTAACACAGAGTAAAATAAATAAAATCAACATATTTACCAACAATATAATAAAATAACACCAATCCTCGGGGAAAGCTCAATAATGTATCGCAGCCCGGCTCGAAACAGAAGAAGAGACAGAGTAGTTTTTAGTCAGTAAGAGTTTGACACTCCCTCTCGCCCCATCCATGCAGGAAAACCATTTTTTTTGTATGTGATAGGTCGGCAAACGAGCAGACGGATTACCTGATGGTAAGCAATCTGCGCCGCACATGGGCAACAACAGAGGAGTTATGAGTGCGTTACCGACCTGTTGGGGATTAGGGATTTGGTAGATTTGGACCGGAGGCCCTCAATCCCTAATTGAGGAGGGGAAGGATAGGGCCTCCGGTAACCTCATTCACAAGGCGAAACACAACGCTGTGGTTTTTTCACGCCAATTTTCCGTGAGGCCGTGTTATCACTCCGGGTGGAGCCGACCCATTCGTGCCGAAGCATCGCTCTCCCACACTTAAAAAAATGATTTACCCTCAAAACAAAAGCCTAATTCTCAAATCACTAACAACCCACAAAAGGCTATGCTTCTGGCGTTAAGGCTGTTTAAAGCGATGCTCAATATGCTTACCATCAGGTGATCCATCAATACAAAATAATTTGTAGGTTATGTACCTAGAAGTTACTTGCGCATTCGACGTCGAAAAATCACTTCTATAAATAACTTGTGCTTCAAGCAATCCAGACAAGACCTTGGTGGTCTTGTCTTCATAAGTTGAAGGTAAGAATTATATTTGGATGCTTTCAAGTTGATTATCTAGAGAGGTCTATGTTCGCCAGTACCTAGATGTCTTTTTACTGATATGATGATATGTTTCAATTGATTTAAAGGTTAATTTGCAGCATTCTTACATCGGCGGATTATCTCTGGAGCATTCTAAGAGAACAAACCATAAGCGAAATTCCATGTATTTAAAAATACACTTTGCATAATTTGCGATATTTAGTGCTTACTAAACCATAGTTTTTTACAATTATGTCACTTAACCATTACCAAATGCGGACGTTTCCAACTAGTCAAATTCAATACTTTTATCCAAATGTCAAATGCGACACTTTTATATGAAATTTGTATGGAACACTGAGTTAAGACGTCATTCAATTAGCAAAAAAATATCTTAAATTTAGTGTATCGATCAATCGATGAATAAGAGTATAGTTATGTTTCACTATTTTATTGTATTGAAACGTCGAATTAATTTATTTTTGACTTAGGAAACTACCCAATTAAATAGTACCAATGCAAATTACACATTATAACATGTTTTTTCTTTTAGTAAAAGATTTTACAAGTAACATAATAATGAATCAATTCGGAAATGTGAAAATGGTATTTATTTTTATTTTAATGTTGGAAATTATATAAAATTTTCATACATAAATTGCTTAAATATCTTCACATTACGGTAACAAACATAAAATGGACAATATAGATCCATCTGCGCTTCTAGGGATGTCAGAATGTGCCGCGCTGCTAGTGTTAATTAACGATAGAAGGTGCATGAAGTCAAAAATCAAAGTCGAATCATTTGTTTTAATAAGACTATCAGGCACTTTTGAACATCAAACAAAGATTTTATGATTTTGTATTAGTATGTCGGTCAGTCTTCTATCGGAGCCGCTCATGGACACCCGGAATACTGGAGGAGTTACGAATGCGTCGCTGGCCTTTCAGGGATAAGGGTTGTGTAGATTTAGGTGTATGAGTGATGGGGAGGAAGGATTGGGCCTCCGATTTTCTCACTCGAAACGAAACACATGTTAAGTGATGTTTCACGCCGGTATTTTGTGAGGCCGTGGTATCACCCCTGTCAAACCGCTCTACTCGTTCCGAAGCTTGGCGCTCCCACACTTTTTACCCGCATTGTAAATGTTTTAAGTACATTTTTATTTTCCTAGGTTAAATAAGGTATTATCTCCATTGTATACATA